TTGACTGAAAATTCAAGACACGCTGTAAAAATTTGATTGGCTAAAACACAGAAATACTATAAAATTAAGGCTATAATAATACAGATCCCAGCAAAGGCAACATGGATATGGTCCAGGAGCTGTGCAGTGCAACATGGCATTCTCACAGCATTTTTAATAGTTTTGTATATTAATTAACCCTACCATTAACTTATATAATGTTATACAATTAATACAATATTAGCATAAACACAATTACCAGTTACACAAAGAAACCAGAGAATCTATTCTCCATGTATGTCATTTCAAATACATGAAGGGCAGGTTATTCACTTACCTCAATGGTGATAACCTGAGTCTCCTGTTTTATATATCACACCAAAATAAATTTTAAATGAACTGATATCATGAATTATGAAAACCATAAAATTATCACTTAGTGATAACTTTAAAAAGATGCACGTGAATAATTCCCTAATTTCATAATTTGAAAGTACTTTTAAATTATAAAAGAAATCAAAAAACAAGAAACAAGGAAATCAGCCTAACTGAATGGACAAAGAAAATATAATTTGTACACACTATACATTTTAATATAACATCAAGAAAAATGAAATATTAAAAATTGCCCAAAAATTGATGGATCTGAATATGACTCAGAACAACAAATGTTGCATAATTTTCTTTTATTTGTGGATCCTAGCTTTATATATGAATATGTATGTATGTATGTATGTATGTATATAAATCCTGAAATTAGAATGGGGACTCTGAGGGGGGAATAGTTTTCATGGGGTGTGTATTGGAGTATGTGTCCCATAAAAGAAAAACAGGACAGTGACTGCAGGTAGAATGAATACAAGTAGGGCAACACGGAAACAGACTCAACAGAACAATTATGTGTGAACACACCATAATGAAACACATTACTTTATATGCTTATTTAAAAATAAAAACAAAAAACTTAAAGTAACATTTTTATGATAATATTTTCCTAGTTCCTACACCCTCCACTCCTCCGTGTCTTCCTCCAACCCCCATCCTATCACCCTTGCTCCCCAGGCAGAGTGAGGTCTTCCATGGCAGATTTTCAAAGTCTGTCACATCATTTGGAGCAAGGCCTAGGCCCTCCCCCATGTTTCTAGGCTAAGAGAGTATCCTCTATGTGGAATGGGATCCCAAAGTCCATTAGTATACTAGGGATAAATCTGATCCACTACTAGAGGCCCCAAACACTGCGCAGTCCTCCTAACAAACACCCACATTCAGGGGTTCTGGGTCAGTCCTATGCTGGTTTCCCAGCTTTCAGACTGGGATCCATGAGCTCCCCTTTGTTCAGGTCAGCTGTTTCTGTGGGTTTCTCCAGCCTGGCCTTGTCCCTTTTGCTCATCACTCCTCCCTCTCTGAAACTGGATTCCAGGAGTTTGGCTCAGTGTTTAGCTGTAGGTGTCTGATTCAGCTTCCTTCAGCTACTAGATGAAGGCTCTAGGATTGCATTATAAGGTAGTCATCAATCTCATTATCGGGTAGGACATTTAAGGTAGCCTCTCCACTATTGCTTAGATTGTTAGTTGGGGTCATTCTTGTAGATCTTTAGACATTTCCTTAGTGCCAGATTTCTGTTTAAACCTATAATGGCTCCCTCTATTATAGTATCTCTTTTCTTGCTCTCCTCTATTTTTCCTGACACAATATTCCTGCTCCCTCATGTCCTACTCTTCTCCCCTTCTCTTTCTCCTAATCCCCTCTCCCCTCCCCCCATGCTCCCAATTTTCTCAGGAGATCTTGTCCCTTTACCCTTCTCAGGGCCCTCCTTGTTTCCTGGCTTTTCTGGCAGTGTGGACTGTAGCCTGGTGATCCTTTGCTCTATGTCTAAAATCCATATATGAGTGAGTACATACCGTGTTTATCTTTTTGTCACTGAGTTACCTCATTCTGGATGGTTTCTTCTAGTTCCATCCATTTGCCTGCGAATTTCAAGATTCCATTGTTTTTTTGGGTTTTTTTTTTGTCCCCCCCCCCCACTGAGTAGTACTCCATTGTGTAAATGTACCACATTTTCTCCATCCATTCTTCAGTTTAGGGGCAACTAGGTTTTTATTTTGCTATCAAATTTATGATGATGTAGCGAGTATTAGCCATAACATGGGAGGAGAGATACCGTTCTCAAAGTAAAAATTGGTTTACATTTTTTTTTTCTGAAAGTCGGTTTGAATTTGACAGTATGTTTGAAAAACCTTAAAAATGTTCATTTCCTTTTACCTATTTCATCATAGCCAGCAATTATGAAAGAAGCAAGCAGGTATTTGCTTCCCAGGCAGGCAGGTGATTGAGGCCTTAAGCCAGACTCTTACCCTGGAGTTAATGAAGTAAAGCAGGGGTATCCATTCCAGTCTTTAAGAGTTAAAGGCTACTGTTTGTAAAGCCCAAAGTCACATTCAGGGTGAGGCATATCATGCCTGGTCGTGTTTTGGATTTGTTTTGCTTATTTAGGTCAGTCCAGTAGTGTTTGACTTAGGTAGCAGAACTAGGAGCATTTCCCAGATTCTATTGTGTACCTAACAATCTGTCAGTTTTTCTGTTTAAATCAGCTGGAGCTTTTCTCCAGCAGTCCACAACAAAGACTTCTCACTCACAAAAAGCATTATGCTATTGAAAGTTGGACACAATAGTAAGAGATTGGTTGAAATAAAATGTTATGTCCATAGGACAAGACACTGTTAAGTATTTTTAAAATAACGCAACATTTTTTTCAGTTTGTCCTTTATCAGAAAGGAATTCAGAGGGTGTGATTCAAAAGCATTGGGAGACTTCTGAACCTGACTCCAAAAGCAGTGGTGCCCTGGGGCTCTGATCTGTCTGAGGCCACACACTTGAAAAAGAGCTCAGCTGGAGCTACCCACACAGCTGTTATGTATGCTATGATTGCCCTTAGGTTCTCAGAAGTAACAGGTTAAAATTTAGCTGTATCTTAGTGCAGACATTTCCCCAGCATTCCAAGAAAAACGTGTTCTTTGAGAAGGGAGAGTCCTCCATCTTCCACTTCAACTTCAGCCAGAACAATTGGTATCTGTTTTGTGGTTTGTGCTTCTGAGTAAGATTCTGATTCTCTTTTTAAACATTCAAAGCTAGTATTACAGGAGATGCTAAGTGTTACCAAGAAATGCTTATAACAGGAAAGAAAGAATGGCATTACAAACAGTAAATTTTTTCCTAACAGTTTTTTTTAACCATTTCTTTATACATCAACTCAAATATAATTATTTTATAATTATAGACACCTATTTTACCTTATGGAAAAAAACACTTGCAGTCTTAATCTTGTTATAAAATAATTGTAATAACATTACATAATGAGTCCTACTGATTATTAGTGCCCTAAGTACTTTATTATCTTATTTAATTCTCATGACAACCACAGGAAGCTTAAATGTTGTCTTGTTTTTAAGCCTGTGACATAGATGATGGAATGCTAAATTAGAAATTTACTAAAATCTTGAATGATAAACTGGGACTGTGCCCTAGAAGTATCTTGTTCCTGCAGCCCTGCTCTTCACTGGTACATTCTACTGTAACTGATTCCAGAAGCCCATCAATTCTGTGGTCAGGACCAACTGTATCAAGCATTATTATAACAGGGGCTCTCCTCATTTTCTTTTTCCCACTAAAGCTTCAGCTCTGGCCACCTACCTGCCTTATCTGCATAGCATAATGTATTGCATACCACAGGGAACTTCATATAGGATGGATGGATGGATGGATGGATGGATGGATGGATGGATGGATGGATGGATGAGTGAGTGAGTGAGTGAGTGAGTGAGTGAATGAAAGAATGGTTCATTCATGAATGAATGAGACCTATGGTTCTCAAATCTGGCTGCAGAATTTTTTTAGGACACAGTTTCTGTTTACTAGATATGCAGTGGAGCTTGGCAATTTTCATTTCTTAAAGTTCCCAGGTAATGACGATGCTGCTTCACATTCAACAAATGTCCTAGGACAATGGTTCTCAACCTGTAGGTCATGAACCTTTGGAGTCAAATGACTCTTTCACAGAGGTCACATACCAGATATCCTGCACATCAGATATTTACATCATGATTCATAGCAGTAACAAAATTATAGTTACGAAGCAGCAACAAGAACTATTTTATGTTCAGTGGTTACCACAATATGAAGAACTGTATTAAAGGGTCACATCATTAGAAAGGCTGAGAACTACTGTCCTGGAAGGTTGGTTTTGAAGAACTAAACAGAAAATTTAGTCAGACAAGCCAGAATAAATAAACATTGATCACACAGGCAGTTTTAGGCCCAGACTTCAAACCACTCAGAGGAGTCCTATGTCCTCTCAGATCATTGCTTTAAGTTTCATTGAGCAATTAATATGGTTTTTCTTAACATCCCCTACAGAACAATCTCTGGATGCTTTCTCTTTGGATTGTTTGGGTTCATGATCAGTTTGGACCCTCTAGAAAAGAAGTCTTCATCTGCCCAGGACCAGATCTATGTTCATGCCCCTTCACGGTGTGGGCCTCTCCTCCTAGAAACCTGTAGGTTTAACCTCATGGAAGGTAGCCCCAGCTTCTCTACACTGTTTTTCAGCTGCCTTGTCCTGGACTAGCTGATCTGGCAACAGGCAATTTGGCAATTTGGCAGGTGTTTTTGTTTGTTTTGTTTTTGTTTATTTGTTTTTTGTTTTTCCCTCTGGGTGTTACTTAAAAGAGGCCTGATATTAAATGAAGAAATTATCAGAAAGACTGGAAAATTCTCTGCATTGTCTGCCCTGTACCTAATAGACATTAGTAAGAGCTGTTAGGTACTAGTGAGTACTGCGCTTGAATAAAAATAATTGTCTTTTATGTCTAACTGAGGGGCTTGTACCTAATGGTTTGGGGGCTGGTTTTGTACAGCAGCTTCCATCTCAAGCCTGTTCCTTACATACCATGGACTTTATGTATTTTAAATTGTTGGGAGAAGAGTTGCTCGGGTTTTATAAATGGTGTTTTCCTTCCTATTAGGTCTCTCTGCAATGCAATCAATGTTTACAACCTCACCTGCAATAACTGTTCAGAAAACTGCACTGATGTTCTGTTTAGTAACAAGATTACCTTCTTAATGGATCTCCTGATACACCAATTGACGGTATGTAATATTAGTGCCTTGAGTAAGAAGCTGTTAAGGTTTGAAAAATAGTCCTGTGACCAAAACTAAGTATTCAGCCTATTTACTGTCCAGATTGAAGAGGGAGGGGGACTGTGTAAAGGTGGTTAAGGACATACAATAGGAACAGACTGAAAATCTCTTGAATTATTTGGACATTTTGTGTCAAAGTCTCCTAAATCCTAATTTTTAATGAGTAATAAGTATGCAACACTTATGAAGAACACCAATTTACATGTTGAACCTGGCTGTGGAATCAGCTGGACCCAGTGCCAAACCTCCACAGCCACAGGAATGGGTGTTATCAACAGAAAACTGAGAAAGCCTCCAAGTCTCTCATGAGCATATATCAAAGGGGGCCAATTAAAGGAGACTTTTTCATAGCCATTTACACATATAAGAAAATTTAGGAAATGCCTTTGTCAAAAAAGGCAAACCTACTTATGATGTGAGCAAGCAGCCAGTTGTCACCTTAAATTTTACCTCCATTCACAGATGTTAAACAAGGTAAGCTCAGTGTAATATCCAAAGGTTTAGGTCTGTCAATGCAATCTTCAAAGCCCTGGGACCAGAAATTTCCTGGTGAGGTTTCTGAGCACCTGAGGTATTGGCACTGCAATTTTACAACACCAGAGATTTCCCAGAATCAGCTTGCTTTTACTTTCCCAGCTCTAATTGCTCTCCTTAAACTCCACACCTCTGCTTCCTTTCTTCCTTCCTTAATTTAGGCATAAGAGCATCTTCTTCATGAAATCTCAAATCTGTTTCCCAATCCCAGATTTAAGAATGCTTTTTATGTGCTCCCAGATATCACAACTCATAGACCTGATTAAACTGAATTGTAGTTATTTACTTACCTGTTTTCCCACTAGTCTTAAAATCTATGAAGACAAGTAGCTTACTACTATGTCCAACAGCCTAACAGAGGAGAGCAGATTTGGTATAACATTGAATGAATGGATGGATGAGTAAATAAATTGTTCCCTACTGATTACTGGTCACAAGCTAAAACTCATAAGGTGACTATGAAGCCTCACATGTAGACATACCAGCAAGAATACAGACAGCAAACTGGGAAAGCTAGCAAAGATGCAGACTAGCATTGACACAGACAGTAACACCAGCTCTTTACAGTGATGGCAATGTATATGGATCAAAGCCTAAGTTGTACTTGGTTTTGTTTACAAAACAAGTTACTAAAACATGGGTAAGACCATTTTTTTTATTTAAATTAGAAACAATCTTATTTTACATATCAATCCCTAGTTCCCTCTTCCTCCTGTCCTCCCACCCCCCCCCCACCATCCCCGAGTCCCATCCCCCTTCTCCCCAGGGAAGGTGAGGCCTTCCATGGAGGATCATCAAAGTCTGACACATCACTTGAGGCAGGGCCTAGGCCCACCCCCTTGTGTCTAGGCTGAGAAAGTTTCCCTCAATGGGGAATGGGCTCCCAAAGTCCATTCTTCCACTAAGGTTAAATACTGTTCTACTACCAGTGGCCCCATATGTTGCCCAGGCCTCCTAACTTACACCCATGTTCAGGAGGTCTGGGTCTGTCCTATGCTGGTTTTCCAGCTATCAGTCTGGGGTCCATGAGCTCCCTTTTGTTCAGGTCAGCTATTTCTGTGGGTTTCCTTCAGCTCAGTGCTTAGCTGTGGGTGTCTGCTTAAGCTTCCATCAGCTACTGGATGAAGGCTTTAGGATGGCAGATAATAAGGTAGTTGTCACTCCCATTATCGGGAAGGGCATTTAAGGTAGCCTCTCCACTATTGCTTAAATTGTTAGTTGGAGTCATTCTTGTAGATCTCTGGACATTTCCCTAGGGTCAGATTTTTCTTTAAACCTATAATGGCTCCCTCTATTATGGTATCTCTTTTCTTGTTCTCCTCTATTCTTTCCCAACTCAGTCTTCCTGCTCCCATATGTTCTCATTTCCCTTCCTCTTCTCCGCTTCTGTTTCTCCTAACTCCCTCTCCCCTCTCACCCTACTCCCAATTTGCTCAGGAGATCTTGTCTCTTTCCCCTTCTGTGGGAGGACCATGTATGTCTCTCGAAGGGTCCTCCTTATTTCCTAGCTTCTCTGGCAGTGTGAATTGCAGGCTTGTGATCTTTTGCTGTATGTCTAAAATCCATATATGAGTAAGTACATACCATTTTTGTCTTTTTGTGACTGGGTTATCTCACTCAGGATCATTTCTTTTAATTCTGTTTGCCTGCGAGTTCTAAGATTCCATTGTTTTTTTTCTACTGAGTAGTACTCCATTGTGTAAACATACCACATTTTCTTTATCTATTCTTCAGTGGAGGGGCATCTAGGTTGCTTCTAGGTTTATTACAAAAAATGCTGTTATGAACATAGTTGAACAGATGTTCTTATTGTATGAATGTGCATCCTTTGGGTGTATGCCTAAGAATGGAATGCTGGATCTTGAGGTATACTGATTCCCATTTTCCTGAGGTGTCACCATACTGATTTCCAAAGTGTCTGTATAAGGTTGCACTCCCACCAGCAGTGGAGGAATGTTGACCTTTCTCTACATCCTCTCTATCATAAACTATCGTTGGTGTTTTTTTTTTTTTTTATTTTAGCCATTCTGACAAGTGCAAGATGGTATCTCAGAGTTGTTTTGATTTGCATTTCTCTGATAGCTAAGGATGTTGAACACTTTCTTGTGTCATTCAGCCATTTTTGATGTCTGTATTAAGAATTCTTTATTTAGTTCTGTATCCCAATTTTTAGTTGGATTGTTTGGTGAGTAGCCTCTTGAGTTTTTTGTATATTTTGGAAATCAGCCCTCTGTCAGATGTGGGGTTGGTAAATATCTTTTCCCATTCAGTGGACTGCCATTTTGTCTTGTTGACTGTGTCCTTTGCCTTACAGAATCTTCTCAGTTTTAGGACGTCCCGTTTATTAATTGTCCTTCTCAGTTTCTGTGCTACTAGTGTTATGTCAGGAAGTGGTCTCCTGTACCAACTTGTTCAAGGGTACCTCCCACTTTCTCTTCTAAGAGGTTCAGTGTGGCTAGATTTATGTTGAGGTCTTTGATCCATTTGGACCTAAGTTTTATGCATGGCGATAGATGTGGATCTATCTACAATCTTCTACATGTCAGCATCCAGTTGTGCCAGCATGCTTTCTTTTTTCCATTGTATAAATTTTGCTTCTTTGTCAAAAATCAGGTGTTTGTAGGTATGTGGGTTAATGTCAGGTTTTTCAATTAGATTCCATTGATATACCTGTCTATTTTTGTGCCAGTACCAAGCTGTTTTCAGGACCATAGCTCTATAATGGAACTTGAAATCAGGGATAGTAATGCCTCAAGAAGTCCCTTTATTGTACAGGGTTGTTTTGGCTATCCTGGGTTGCTGTTATTTTGATGGGTATTCCACTGAATCTGTAGATTAATTTTGTCAAAATTGCCATTTTTACTATCCAAGAGCATAAGAGTTATTTCCATTTTCTGGTATCTTCTTTAATTTCTTTCTTTAAAGATTCAAAGTTCTTGTTATACAGGTATTTCACTTGTTTGATTAGGGTTACTCCAAGACATTATATGTTGTTTGTGCCTATTGTAAAAGGTAATGTTTCTCTGATTTCTTTCTCAGCCCATTTATCGTCTATATACAGTAGGGCTACAGATTTTTTTTTTTTTTTTTTTTTGAGTTAATGCTGTATCCTACCACTTTGCTGTAGGAGTTCCCTGGTAGATTTTTTGGGGGTCACTTATGTAAACTATCATATCATCTGTAAATAGTGAAAGTTTGACTTCTTCCTTTCCAATTTGTATCTCCTTAATCTCCTTTTGTTGCCTTATTGCTCTAGCTAGAACTTCAAGTACAATATTGAAGAGATATGGAGAGAGTGGACAGCCTTGTCTTGTTCCTGATTTTAGAGAAATTATGTTGAGTTTCTCTCCATTTAGTTTGATGTTGAATGTTGGTTTCCTGTATATTGTTTTTATTATGTTTAAGTATGTTTCTATTACCCCTGATCTCTCCAAGACTTTATCATGAAGGGGTGTTGAATTTTTTCAAAGACTTTTTCAGCCATCTAGTGAGATGATCATGTGGTTTTTCTTTTTCAGTTTGTTTATATGGTGGATTACATTGATGGATTTTCATATGTTAAACCATCCCTGCATCCTTGGGATAAAGCCTACTTGATCATGGTGGATGCTTTTTCTTGAATTCCATTTGACAGTATTTTATTGAGTATTTTTATGTTTATGTTTATGAGGGAGATTGGTCTGTACTTCTGTTTCTTAGTTGTGCCTTTGTGTGGTTTGGGTAGCCTCATAAAAAGAGTTTGGCAATGACCCTTCTGTTTCTATTGTGTGGAACACTTTCAGGACTATTGGTATTAGCTCTTCGAATTTCTGATAGAATTTTGCCCTGAAACCATCTGGCACTGGACTTTTTTTGGTTAGGAAACTTTTGATGACTACTTTTGTTTCATTAGGGATTATATATCTATTTAATTTGCTTGTCTGTTGATTTAATTTAGGTAAGTGATATCTATCCAGAAAATTGTCCATTTCCTTTAAATTTTCAAATTTGATGGAATATAGGTTTTCAAAGTATGACCTGATGATTCTCTGAATTTCCTCCATTGTTATGTCCCCCTTTTCATTTCTGATTTTGTTAATTTGCATGTTCTCTCTACCTTTGTTTAGTTTGGATAAAGGTTTGTGTATCTTGTTGATTTCCTTGAAGAACCAAATCTTTGTTTCATTGATTCTTTGTAGCTTTCTTTGTTTCTACTTTATTGATTTCAGCCCTTAATTTGATTATTTCCTAGTGTCTACTCCTCCAGAATGAGTTTACTTCTTTTTGTTCTAGAGCTTGCAGGTGTGCTTTTAATTCTCTACTGTGACTATTTTCCAGTCTCTTCATGTGGGCACTTAGTGCAATGAACTTTCCTCTTAGTACTGTTTTCAGAGTGTCCCATAAATTTGGGTATGTTGTGTCTTCATTTTCATTGA